TGATTATTTTGCAACTCTTTAGTTTAAGGCAAGAGATTCAGCACTACAAAACTGTCTCTCTTCACTGCAAGCAGAAGAAGCAAAGCAACAGATTTTTAAACCATACCAATCCTTTCAGTTTCCAAGTCGACCTAGTCTAGTATCCCACTAGCCATACAAGGATACTTTGCAATAATTTTTTTTGCAATCCACTACTGCTCAGAGTACTTTGGGCTTCTGGATATCCAACTCCACTGAGGTAGAGAACTGTACAAAAAAAACAAATGAGCAAATTAATTTGTCGTTGGAGAACAGTAAATTTTTGCAACTACAAAGTTGCAAAATATATGTAAGCAAACTGCATAAAAAGTAAAAACACAATAATGGTGATCATCAATGATGTATTTTCACCAAACTGTATATGTTCTTATCAAGAAAAGAAATCCTGCCTCTATGCACTTCAGTTTTAGTTCAGTATTCATGAATTAATAAGGATTGCTTGTAGACTAAAAAACAAAACGAATAAAAGTTTCTTACCCTCAATGGTAGTTGGAATTTTGAAAGCTATCCAGGAGGAACCTAAGGGTAAATGTTTGTTTTCAAAAAAATTAATCTGTCTGATAACATCCTATCAATTCACTAATTTTTTAATTTACCAGATTTAAACATTGGGTTTACTTTGTTTTATGCATGGTGCAAGTAAATACATATCTAATATATTTCAATAAAAATAAAGCAAATCTCACCATTTTTGTAGGTGCTATCCCCGAGATTTCTCATCTTTAATTGACCAACTGGCACCTTGTGTGTTTTCCTATGGGATAAAATCGAAAGGAAGTAATCAATAATGTACTCTTCACCATCCTGCTAAGTTTAAATATACAAGAACTTACTTAGACAAAGCTCAGTTCTGTCGCCTCGTCCGTAAAACAGAGATCCTTGGGCGATTTACCCTTTTCTTTCGGTGCCGATGTCACTTCTAAATTTTCATAATCGCTGATGTTTTCTGAATCATCAATCGACGTTTTAAAAAATTCGCAGCATAAAGTAGGGGGCCAAAATTGGTAAATCCTACATAGCTCTTGGAAGGGCCAAATTGAGAAAAAGTTCCAAAGTAGAATTCATTTGGGCCAATTCAGATTTTGGAGAGGTCGAAATGGTACCTGTCCGACCCGTTTTAGCTTAAATAGTCCAAAACGAACCTCGAGAGGCTAAATTGGCCCTCAGACATTGGGGCCAATTTGGCTTTTGGGGTCAATTTGGCTCTCTTCATTTTACAGTGAATTCTTTCACACGATGTTTCAAAGTTTGTCTGTTTTATACCACAATTAAGATTCTTAATAACTGTAAAATGATGCACTGTAAAGGGTTTTCACATAAGCAATATCTAGAACCAAATAAATGAGTGTTTGAAAGATAAAGTGTCATGTGTTTTTTCCTTACTTGACTGTGTGGAGAGGAAAGAGCCCTCTACTTCTGAAATGGCCTCTCATTGGAGCTGAATTGGCTCTTTTTAAAGGGGTCATTTGTGAGAGGGCTGTAATTTCGAAAGCTGTTTTGGCCCCTTTAAATTCCAGTGTGGCTCCCGTAATTTCCAAATTGACCCTTCGCGTGGTCCAATTTGGCCCTAACAATTGGGTCGGTTTAGCCCTCAAAAATTGGTGCCAAAAACAGCCCCATTTCAATGAGGGCAAATTTAAATTCATGAGTATACTCAGTCTTTATAATGTGCTAACGTTCTCTTCGCTTTAAATATGCCGTGTATGGCTTTTCAGAATCATAAAGAGGCAGAATGTTCCGTGATTTCAGTCGCTTGTGAGAAATGCAGGGCTCACGGCATTCCTAAAACAAAGGTAAAATATATACTTACTTCAATAACTAGATGTAGGTTTTTTTCCCTCATGATAATATGAGGTAATTATGATATGGTTACAAATGTTATTTACACTGTAAAACATCTTATTTCATAGAACATGAGGTATTCCTGTAATGTGAAAATGATGAGACATCATATGGTCTGTCAAACTTAGCCTTTTTAGATCCGCAACCGCTACTGGGGCGAACTTGACCTTTAAGGTTAGAGTGGAGGAGAACATTTGGAGTGCGCCACACCTGTCCCTTGCCAAGCATTCTCATTTGTTCTCAGAACTGCTTGCCACCATTTAGCGTAGATCGTTACCAGGGAATTAGAAACTTTAGAAACAAAGTAAATGAAACAAAACTTGCGAGGATGAATGACACATGATAATCTAGAGTCATATACAAAGACATCAGCAAGTCTCGCGCTTTGCTTTAGAAACGAAGTCTACTCGTAACTGGTTAGCGTACTTAGCTTCTGCAGTAAAGGAGTTGATTTTTTTTAATTAACCTAAAGAATTCAAGGAAACAGGCCTCGGTGACGACGAATCGAACTGTGAAGCTGTTATACTTACAAAGCGTTGTTATTTTTTCGTCCGAACGTTCCAGCACAACCGAAATCCAACCATAATGATCCTGAAAGCAAATCAGGAACCACGTCCGTTTTCTACCGGATGCTGCACAATTAAGGTAATATAGATAATGTAACTGGGTAAGTAGACATACGCTTCAGATAAAGCTTAGTCCTAAAGTTAAAGTTAGTCTCTCTTTCTGAGATCCACATTCGTTTCGAGAAATATCCATACTGACAAACAAACGTAACTTTTGCCAAGGGAATAATTTCAAAGGGCGTTTTGTAGATATCCTTCAAGCAAACACGTGGTCAAAAAAACTTTTTTTTTCTCTACTAATAATAATCTCCGACTTTTTCCTTAAATGCGTGCAAAATGTGATCAAATTAAAATGAGGCCTAGAATGAACGCTCTTCGAAACCTCTTATAGAGAACTTAAACTTTCGAGAAAGTTGAATTGGCGACAAATGATGCACATGAAAAGGTGTTCATGATCAGACTTGTGAGTGTAAATGATCTGTAGAAGGTTAGCAAATCATCATAACGCTGCTAAAATAATCCTTTAGAATTCTTTCTCTTCAATCCTTCAAAGAAGAAATTTTAAAAAGCGAGAAAGCTTGTCGGCGAACATCCTCTATTGTTTTTCTATATGGTAATAGGCACGACTGAACGTCAGCAACGATGATGACAATGATGAAGACGATGAAGACGACGAAGACGACGAAGAAGATGAAGAAGATGAAGACGATGAAGACGATGAGGACGATGAAGATGATGAAGATGATGAAGACGAGGAAGACGATGATGTCGATGATGACGAAGACGACGACAATAAAAACGATGACGACGACGATGACGAAGACAATGATGACAATGACGACGGCGATGATGACTATGACGACGATGACGATGACAATGACGATGACGACGGTGAAGATGATGGCGATGACGAACCGGATCAAATAATAGAGGGTGAGCATAGAGAAGTGGGGTAAAGAAAAATTGATCGTTTTAATTTCGAGCAAACAAATTTCGGTTTACCATGCTCTGTTTTGATTCCTTCTTAGGTTGTTTATGTACTATCACGATTAACATTCGCTTATTTGTCATTTATTTGTTCATTTATCTATCTGACAGATTTCCTCTCTGATACTATTTGTGTGCCATACGAACTGTAAGAGGCAAAGGGAGATGAGAGAGAGATCATTGGGAAAGCCCAGCTAGGCCGGACGATTTGATAATCCCTAAATAGAGATAATCAGGGGCTCCTGGAGCCAGCTCATTCATGTTATGGCTTAAGTTTGTATTAATTTCTTAGACTTTTTAATATAGATACAGTTGAATTCGGTTCATGTAAACTTTCAAGACTTATGGAATAAATTTTTTTTTGTCTTTGGACAGTGTGATAAGAAAACTTGTGCATTCGTCGTGATGGGAATTGGAAAAAAGGTTGTGTGGGCTGAAGGTGGGCTGGGCAGAGGTCATTAGGCAGACTGTCTCCTTTTTGTTGGTGTGTGTGTTTGTGGGGCGGAGCGTGGGCTGGGTGGGCATAATCAAGCATCAAATTTTGCTCTAGCAGCAAAATATTAGTAGCCCTCATCTTTCAAGATCATTTGTACCATTGTGAAATATTCCTTGCCCGTTTCTTGACATCTTTTGTTTTTAACAAAGGGGCCATTGCATTTGGTTTTTAACAAAGCGGCCACAATCGTTCTAATTTCGTTCGAATTTTCAAGCCTTCAAATAGTCTGATTTTCACATATTAATATTGCGTAGTCGCCAAATAGATGAGAAATAAAACCACTAAAAAAAGTAAACGACTGGTTAGTCACGAAAGCAACGCCTCGCTTTCCCCTATAAAAATTCGCTAGTTCCTCGAGTAAATCACTAACAATATAAGGCACATATATGCAAAAAGCAGTGTGTGTACACCCCTGAGCGTTGAAAATATACCAAGTTGAAGGAACAGTTTTGGTCTCGGTCCGCATTTTTGTTAACAAAATGAGCACATATCGGTTAAAAAGGTGAAACATATGGACCACCTGCAAAGCTGTCAATTGTTTCTCGAATAATGTTAAATATTCAGTAGTGACATCTCATTTACATATACATCTACTTTAATTTAGTTGGTACATTCTGTGCAGACATCACACCAACCTACTCGCGCGGAAAATGAGAAGACTATATGAAGACTTTAAATTATATTAAGAATGATTGTGATCAAGAAACGGGCCAAGGGATAATAATCGTGAGAGATGATCGCGGAAAAGCGATTGCGTGACGCTCGGTAAGTTGTAAGAAGACATGTATCAGACGAAAAAACAGTATAATTCTCAGTCTGCATTTTGCACCCAGTCTGCAGTCTGCAGTCTACAGTCTGCATTTTGTACTGACCGGATAGGTATTGCTGTTTTTGTTCGAGCGAGCCTCAAGTCCAGACCGAAATATTGGATTTTAGTGAGACTATCTTGACCGCTATGATTGATGAGTGGACTGTGTGTTGAAGAGCTCCTGAGGAAAAAGACCACGATAGTGCAATGATTACTTTATATCAACAGAAGACTAACGCAAATGCGCGGCTTACTGAATATGGCTGCTTCTGATGCTCTTCCGCGTGGTCACAGCGTGTGTTGAAATGAACCCGCAACGGGTCCCCTAGGTATGAACATTTCGGCTTCTTGATTTCAAATTGCATTTTAGAAGTTCGGAAATGTGATTTGAAGTTATTATTTTTATTAAACCATACAAACATTTTATTTCTTTCCATGTGAGTTTCTGAGCCTCATCGAAATTAATTTTGACTTTCACTAAGTGAGGAGGGGTAGCATGCGAGACTACTTACGTTCACGGTCCACAATGCAACTTCTGTCTGCGGAATACAACCTCCGTCCACGGTCGACAACTTCCGTCAACATCTGCTTCACTACGATACCTCATTCATTGCTTCCAGCATGAATGAGCCAAAAATTGAAATAGTCCTGATCGTCCTCTGCGATGCCTTCGTTACACCCAGCCCCTCTAGCATGGCAGTAAAATTAATGGTTACACGACTCAAAAAGAAACTTAGTTCTCTAATGCTCGAGGGTTTCTCGCCGTTATAAAGATAATGAGAGAAAGGTTGGAGGGGAAGTGAGGGAATGATCACTTTTGAAAGTCGAGTCGTATTTATTGATTCCTTCAAATAGCAAACGAGCCACGATGAGGTGAGATGCTCAGGTTTTTTTGTCCGCGCAATTTATATGTTTCGGGAAGCGATACGGAGGCGTAGAGGAAGAGGGCAGGTTCACGGAAATGAGCAAATTTCGGCTTCAAATGAAGGCCATTGAGCTCACATATAAAAACAGCTTACCATCAATAATTAAATGATTTCTGTTGCAGTTTATTTTTCAGTGAGCAAGTTTGTCTTTCTCTATATAACCACAGAAACACTATCCAATATTGAAATAAATTCGAAAAGTAAGTTGTAAAGTTTCACGCGTGGGCTTGGAAAAGTGGGCATTACCAATCGAAATTAAAACCACTTTAAAAACATTTTCATTTTCACAATTCGCTTAGCCTAATAGCACTCGAGGATTATCATATAATACATCATAAATTCAGATCAACAAGATTATGCAGGAAAAATTTTTTTGCAGCTTTGTTTAAAGGTTATAAGTTCCCAATATCAACAATAACTTTGATAAACATGGTATCGTCCTTTACATAAGCGTGGTTATTTAACTGTGTCATAGCACAGAAGGTCGGGCACCCACTGGCTATGTTCATATCCCTTTTTGGTCTCTGGAATGAGGAGCTATTCGGATCAGGTCTGAAGGCGTCAACTACGTGTTCTACGTTATCCTGATCTAATAACATAAAGGTGACCTTTTGTCTAAATGGCCAGCGGAGTATTGCGTCATACTCACCGCGCATAACAACAAAGAATATTGAAAAATGTGTTCCCTTTCCGATACCATCACCGTTTAGATAGATGCGCGCGCACATCTTATAACCGTGACGACTAGTATAGAAACAGGGACTATAAGTAGATACGTGTTGGCCGGATCTCGCCTCATTTCGTTTTCGGGTGAAGTCAGTAATTTTCCATAAAAGCACACCATTGTAGCTTGAGAATTGCTCTTGCCTAACGTAATCTTCTAGCTCAGCTATAGCAATGTTCCTAGCACCTAGAGTATGTTCTAGATACTCCGTCCGTCGTTGAAGTTTTCTTATCTCATCGTTAGCAGTTTTAAGCTGAGCCTCCAGTCTTTTTATTTCTCTATTCCTATTTTGCATTTCCGAGTTAAATTCAACCAAAAGAACTTCATGATTGGCTGCCTTAGCATCCTGATTGTCCAGCTTTTGTAGAATATTCACAATTTCAGCTTGCGAAGAGCGATGCGCTGATGAATTTAAGGGAGCACTGTCGGCTACCACGTCATCCATTAAATAACGCTTGATATTTTGTTCAAGATTACTTATGCGAGTGCCATGTCCTTGAACCATTGATGTCAGGTCAGAATTTTCACCGATTATGACATCTATCTTATTTTGTAAAGTTTTAAGGATTGCATCCATTTTAGAAATGACTCCGGCGTCAACATCGCCAAGTTTGGAATGAAACAAGTTAGACAATTGGTCCACAAACAGAAAAAGGAGTGTCAAATGATCAGATACTTGTTTATCCTGGTGTCTTCTACGTTCTTTCCTTTTCATTTCCTGCAAATAGACACACCAAATCCCCGTTAGATCTAGATGTATAGTTAATTTTTTTTTAAATGTACGCACACTTTCTGATACAAATGAATTTAGTTCGTTTTTGAGAGAGGCTGATCAACCTTAGAGTCGCATCTAGAATTGTGATCGATTTCTTTAAGAACTTCATCAATCACTCTCTTTGTGTGTTTACCCGTCAAGTTGTCAAAATAAAATTGATTTACAGTAATCGTTCTCTTAATCTCTATCTCTCTCTCTCTCTCTCTCTCTCTCTCTCTTAATACTCACCCCTTTATGTTTGCATCCCACTTTATGAAAAGGACACGGGGCTTTAACAGCTTCGCAGTCTCCATTAACAGGATCAAGGTGACTCGAAAGCTGTAATCAAAACGGAACAACAATTCTGTTTATGGTAACTATCAAAGATTTTCTCTTTTTCAACTTCTTACTTATGAACACTACTGTGGATATCAAATTTTTAAACAGGCTGCCTGTGGGTATTCAGAGACAAGAATGCGACATTTACCGGTTCTGTAAAAAACCTGATCGGAAATCTAATTGACATGTAGTAAATGATAACAAGTTACGCCTTTGTGTACAAAACAAAAGTTATGCACTATAAGAAGGATTGACTGATAACTTTACCTGCTTTCGTGGAATTTTTTCAGTTTTACACTGCAAACAATCCACAGGGTATTCTAGGCACTCCTTTTCAAGATGTTCCTACAGTTTACAATTAAGAATGTAAATCTGAGTTTGAAATCGACTACTGCTGTGCTAGAAATACTAATCATTATAAATACTTGTCATGCGACATGTGGTAGCATTAGCTGGATGCTACGAGCATCTCACCAATCAGAATTAAATCCTTACTTGTTTGCATATCAAATTCAGAACTAACTTTCATAAACTTGAGATCTTATTTACCAGGAAAGAATCGTTTTTGTTTTTTTTGTTTTTTTGTTTTTTTGGCCATTCAATCTGCAGTGATTTGTTTGAGGAAGTCATGACACCTTGAATGCTATATTTTTATACAATTTCCTACAGTTCTAACAAGAAAATAGCCACGTGCATAGAAATTTATCAAATAATCATAAAAGACCGACCATACCTCAAGCTTATCAGCTGTAGTCTTTATGGAGCAATACCCACACTGCTGCTCTCTGAAGATACAATCCTCC